CTAGTTTTTGGAGCTGAATTCGAATTTAGCAGCCATTTGAACATTTACGAAGTAGTTTTGGTGCCTTCATAACATGTTACGAAGCTGTCAGAGGCGGTTGACACGTACTACGAATACCCGTCACGACCCCTACTGGTTGACCTGACCTGACCTGACCCGACCTGGTCTAAATGCTTAAAGACATTATCTGTGATCAAAACTAACACGATATTCGTGATCAGCACCCCGAAAAACCCCTTAGCAGCCACACTTTACGACTTTCTAATAGGTCCCGATTTTCCCGACTTTGGGTCATTGACCTGACCTGAAAGGTCAACCAATGACCTAGGACCTTAAAACTGGGTATCATCGGCTTCCTCTCGTCACGGGCAACACGCTCGTTTTTTCCGCGAAGCTCTAGCTCGATCAGGGGCCAAACGGCAGGGGGGGGGGGTCCAACCGACCCCCCCCCCCCCTACACATTAGAAGCTGGCAAACGCCGCACACATGCGAGGGTTAATGTATTTTATGTTCTCTCGCTCTTTTTCTATTCATTCAGGAGTTCGCTTCGCTTCTCATTTCCGAGTACCATTCGCCCTCGTCCATTGTGCCCGCTGTCCTCACCCGAGTCGGTCAGGGGGCCGACACCCAGCAGGAGTCTGGCACTCGTGATCTGACACCCGGCAGGTGTCTGACACGCTGACACCCGGCAGGTGTCTAGCACTCGAGATCTGACACCCGGCAGGTGTCTGACACTCAGCAGTCTGACACCCGGCAGGTGTCTGACACGCTGACACCACCAGCCGCCTTGTGCCGCCTCATCCTCTGATGTGTTTGCCCCCGACGTCCGACCGTCGCGGCCCGCTGGCAAGCACCCTGTTTGTTCCGGCGCCGAGCGTCAATGAACGACGTGGACAGCCATTTTCATTTTGTAATGGCCCTGGAGACGTGAGCGCTCCCAGGAGAGGGCAGGGAAGGGGTGGTCATGGGCTGTCAATCCGGTGACGGTGGGGTCGTCCTATTTATCCTCGGGGGATGATACTGATACTCCTCCCCGTATTATCGAGTTGGGTGTTCATGGGGCCTATTCATGCTGTCGCCAAACGCTTAGCGAGATTCGCTTTACGGCTGGTCGATGGACTTTACCAGGCATTGTGACCGCTTTACGTTCGCCCCGTTAAGCGGGCCCTGGGCCCGGGCCTGCCGGCGTCGTTCTTGGCTGCCGCTGGAACGTGTGATGAAGGGGCATTATTTGCTCGGATGGCGGCAATGAAAAGGCCAGGGAATGACTGAGTGCTCGTCGGATGACCCCCTCCCCCTTCCTCCGCCGCCGCCGTCACCTCTCACTTTAGTGGGCTCTATTTTCCACCTCCTTCTCTTTCTTTTTTCTTTGCTGTCCTGTTTTCTCTTCTGTGCTCTGGTTTCTTTTCCTCTCTCTCTCTCTCTCTCTCTCTCTCTCTCTCTCTCTCTCTCTCTCTCTCTCTCTCTCTCTCTCTCTCTCTCTCTCTCTCTCTCTCTCTCTCTCTCTCTCTCTCTCTCTCTCTCTCTCTCTCTCTCTCTCTCTCTCTCTCTCTCTCGCTCTCGCTCTCGCTCTCGCTCTCGCTCTCGCTCTCGCTCTCGCTCTCGCTCTCGCTCTCGCTCTCGCTCTCGCTCTCGCTCTCGCTCTCGCTCTCGCTCTCGCTCTCGCTCTCGCTCTCGCTCTCTCTCTCTCTCTCTCTCTCTCTCACTCACTCACTCACTCACTCACTCACTCACTCACTCACTCACTCACTCAACTACTCATATGTGCTGTCATCTCGGGTGTTCTCTTCTGCATTTCTGTTGCCCATTTTCATCTCCTGCTGCCCTTCCTTTCATCCCCTTTCCTCTCCAATTCTCCTCGACTCTGCCACGCGTATCGCCATGTCCTGTCAGCGGGAACGCGTCTCTGCGTCTGGGCGTGCTCCTTGGCCCGCAGCCCACCGCCTGGCTCAGCCGGTCTTTATCCGGCCGCGGAGAATAGGTGAAGCGTTTGATCGGATCGGCTGGGGTGACGCGGGCTGCCAGCGGAGTCTTTATCAGCCAGCGGCCGGCAGCGGTGGCCGCGCGAGCGCTCAGTTTGAGCGCAGAGCCCATGGTGCGGAGATTGGATGGGCCCCGAGCTGGACCGTTGATAACGCTACAGTTTCGGCGCCAATTGACTCCGAGGGCTGACGATGGAGAGGAGAGGCTGGACGCTGCCCTATGGTGACCTTTGAAGTGGTACGCAGAAGTTTTTATCCCTCAGAAATCCTTTCTTTGGTTATGGTTTTTGCCGTCACGTCCTCACATTCATGTGCGGTCGGTAAATAGTGTCACGCGCCGGGCACTATCACAATCACGGTAATACGTGCCGGCGGCGTGGTCGTGATTTATGGTTAATAAGCGTGCCGACCAGGACGGGCCGTGATTCACTGTGCCGGCGGCCATCCGTGAACATGCTGATTAGTCTGGGATTACGCAAATGAGGCCGGCGGGCCAGCTGTGTCGCCCGGCGACCACTGCCCGACTGCTGGCGAAATGTGGCGCGTGTGATCCTCGGTAGCTGACATTGCGACCTCGAGGTCATGCTATTTCATGGGGTAGACTGTAGCCCCTGGTAAATTTTACAACATGCCGCCTTTCATGCCTTGTTTAACACCGGCACATTGTGTCAGGTATGAATCAGTCGATCTGAAATATGCTCCATGATGGCGGTCTAGTTGTGTTATTAATTAGACGGTCCTTGTTAATCTGAATCCATTACTCGATGGCGGTGATACGGCTATCTGCAGCGGTGACCCCGTTTGGCTAGACATGTCGCCGTTAGGTGGGCAGTGATCGGACCTCGGCCCGTCCCTGGCCTGATCAGATCATGACCAGTGTCCGGCTTCGTCTAGCCTCAACCACCGGAGTATTTACTGTCTCGCTAGCGGCGACTCCTGTTAATTGCTCTATCGTTGATCGCCTGATGGCATTGCTCTATGTTGAAGTTATGGGCGGCAACTCGACCGACGTTGGCCGATTTGACTCGGTTTGCTGGAGGGGAACAAGTTCCGGGATCACTCCTACGCTCTGGCTAGGAGAGATCTCACCGTTTGGCCGACACGCCGTCCGCTTTGGTGTTCTCTCGCTGTCCTCACTCGCTGAAGCAGCCTCGTGTCGCTGTTGATGGGGGTATTCCGTCGGACCGCCCGAGTCCTCTGTGTTGGAGCGCCCCCTCCCTTAGCGCGGCCTCACGTCAGCCGTGGACGAAATACACACTACACAGGCCACTGCACGGGCGACGGCTGATGGAAGGCGACCCGACCTGACCTGACTTGACCCGACCCGACCCGACCCGACCCGACCCGACCCGACCCGACCCGACCCGACCCGACCCGACCCGACCCGACCTGATCTGATCTGACCCTACTTTACCTGACCTGATCAGACTTGACTTAGCCCGACTAGACCCGACCCGCTCCCAATGGGAAGAGGAGGATTGGCTGCGACTGGGCCGATTATTGGTGCCTTCGATAATGCTGAGCCGTCGGCGGCGGCGGCGTGTGACGCATGTCGTCGGCGATGGACGGCAGTGACCTGTGACCTTCCTTCGAGGGGCTGGGCACAGGTCGGTCGGGTGACTGACAAGTACATGTTGCAGACTGGCCGTTTCAGTGGGTAGGGGGACAGGTCAGCTGCGAAATGCTTGTGCCCTGCCAGTGTCACCCTTTACCTTTACCGAAATGTTTTCATTGTTACATGTCGCATGCAGGTATTGTACTTGCTGAAAAGTTCGTCGAACTTGTTATCGCAAGAACAGCATACCTAGAGGGCATTTTGCATGAGGGGTTACAAACAACATTACACCTTAAAACATTGATGGCGGCTCTAAATAACTGTAATCTGTTGACCATTCGGTCCCGGAAGGAGCTTGCCTCCTCAGTGGCTGACAAACTTTGGTTTGAGAATCCATTATTGATTAGATCCGTGCCGTTCCTTCATTATTGCGTGCGCCAGGCACATAAATTGCCTTCAGCGCTTGTGGTGGCCATAAAACCCTACGTGTTTCGAATATAAGGTGCCTCAAATAGGACTTTGGCTGTTTCAGCTGCCGTATTGTGTGCTACTTTTCCATTTATTTTGCTTAATGATCATCACGTTAAGTACTGGCAACTGTGAATTGCCACGAAACGCTCGTATCCATTCATGTAAGTGAACTGCGTGAACTTTGCTAGGATGTGGTTTACGCCAGGACTCGTCGAAAACAAGGCAGCAAGACTGACGTTTGTCGGAACGTTTGTCACCATTATTTTTGCTGCTGTACATTTTATATCTTTGCATCGCAGATGTTTGGCATGTCGATTTTGTTTGGATTTGTTGCTGAAAATGGTGATGACGAAACCCTCCTTCCGTGTCTGATTTTCATCGTCGTGGGCTCGTTCAGCTCCCTATATTCTGTCGCTCAGATTTCTGATCTCTGATCTCTGCCTCTCGTCGGCCACGCGTCGGGTCACGTGCGTCTGAGATGAGCGAATCGCGTCCACTGCGCCCTAAAGCTGCCGTTTGGGCTCCGGACGTGCCTGGTGTCCGCCATTCGAGTCATGACGGCTATAGAGTGGACATGACCAGTCACAGAGAGCTCCGGAGAGAGGTGTTCCCGATCCCCGTACTTTACCACCGCTACTCTCCCGTGTTTTGATTGCGTCCGGGATGGTGAGGAGGGGAGAGGGGGTGCAACGGATAGGATATGCGAGCATGGGTTTTGAGGTTTCGATATCGTTAACCAATTAAAGACCTTTTCGTTATTTCGTTATTAACTTGTAAAGCTAATTATTTTGGCTCAGCAATGCAGTACTGTAAATTCCCCTGCAGTTTACTTATTTCGATCGTTGATGCGGTTTTTTGCGTTCACCTAACATTGCATCCCCAATGCCCATTGTGTACCACCTCGACTGACCTCTGAACACCTTCAAGCCTCCTCGCCCCTACCGTTGATTTAGGACCTTCCCTCGACTGACTGTCCTCTGTTTTGCCGGCAGGTTCGATGACCAGTACACCCTGTCCGTGCGGTACGTGGACGGCTCGTCCAAGCGCGAGCGGCAGGCCTCAGTCACGCGATCGGTGGCCGCCTTCTTTGACGAGAACGGCGTCCTGGTGCGAGAGTGTCTGGTGCCCGTGGTCACCAAGCTGCACAACAGTCTGCTCTCGGGAAAGAAGGACAAGTAGGCAGCGCTGAAGAAGGGTGAAGAAGGGGCAACGGCCACGAATAGTGACGCCACTGCCTTCGAAGATGGAGGTGTTTTCGAAGAGGGATGGGGTTGGATAGGTGGAAGCTATGAGCGGCGCACCCCATGTCCGGGGGACCAACTATCTCATCACACTGGTGACCCAGCCAAAGGGGCGACGGCGGCGCCTGAGTTTCGGTCACTCCGCACGTGCTGGTGCATATGTGGCGGGTGACAGCGAGCGCTGCGAAGTGCTGTGTGGGATGGAACTTTTAATCGAGAGATGCGAGGGTGAGGTGCGGGCGAACGCTTGCAACAGAGTTGGGTGGTGCGCGGCGCGCCTGAACGCGAGTGCACAGTTTCTTCGGGGCGTTTGGAAGGGGCTACTCTGTTGCCGGATGCGTTATTTTCGTGTCGTTTGGTGTCCTTTTTGGTGTCGCAAGCCTAGTTCGGTGTCCGTTTTTTCTTCAGAAACAATACACAAAAGTATCGGGTGTTTGTTTTTCGGACGAGTAATACTACACACTATAGTTGTGTCGCCTCCGGTGTAACTCAATACCTCCGGGAGGCGCGCTAATCTCCCGGTGACGTCACGTGGCTGCCTGGGATGACGTCACGGCGGCCGGTGACATCCGTGAGTGTCGGCCGACCGTAGCCCTCGATAGGACACGCGGTGTCGATAGATCCTCTCGGTATCGGGCCGATCTGATGAGCCACTGACGTCTGGTGATGTCCAGTCTGAGGGATAGTACTGGTCATGTCAGTATGGTGTCTTGGGTCCGATTCTGATGAAGTTTTATACAGAAGTATAAAGTATTCCTGTATCAGCAATGCCGAATAGCGATCCATTTTACACATGCATTTAATTTTGAAGCTGATAACCCATAACCGCCTCACAATAAGTTTCGTCCGTAGACATGCAACCTGTAAGACATACAGTCTGTGTACTGCATCATAAAACTTAAAATGGACTCTCTCCACATAATCGTTAGTTCGTGGGAGCTTTCGATAATTAGTTAGACATCTTCGTCCGCAATAATACCCTTAAGAATTTCGGTCATATCAAATCGTTCATTGAATGATTTGATATGAGTGAAGTTTTTACGATACGATTGCTGACGAGTAACGAAAATATGCAAATACATCGAACGAAAGCTCCAACCAGCTAATGAACCTTGTGGATAAAGCTTATTTTGAGTTTTTTTTACACTTTAAACTCCACATCATGTCTTTAAGCCATTCCACAGGTCTACTATAGTTAGCATCGCGACGATGAGCATCAATTACAGTTGATATCTTTGAACGAGTTAACTTTTACTTGATGTGAGCAAGAATAAACATAAAATAGATAGGCAATGAATCATTGCCGTCGAGCCAGCCCCTTTCAGAACAATTGCACGTAGTAACTAGTAAGGGCTATGGAACTGATTGGATTATCAGATGTCACGAGGTAAATTGTCGCTGTGCGGCCTGCGATCTGCTTTGGTCAGAATGTAATTGAAGGGGTGTTTCTTTGACCTTCATCAAGGAAATGGAGCTATTGTAATTAAAGGTAGTGTGCCAGCTTTCTTGGACCGTATGGAGTTAATGGCCCAGATAAGGAGAACCGGATTTTTAGAACTTATCCATACCTTCAAAACTCATGGAAACGTCTTAAATTCTTCAAATTTTGAGTACCCCAGTGCGAAATTCGCCCCGACGGGTTGTCGGTCGTACCCCAACCACATTTCACACCACTATGAACAATAAATGCACACACTGAAATCGCTATTACCGATATGCTTATCCAATCAAGTTTCGATAAACCCGTTCAGCATCAGCTCCTGCGGTTTCGAACACGCCTGTTAGTTGGCTTCTGATGCTCGTCGAGGTCGGAATTTCCAAATACGCGTGGTGCGTCGGGCCGCGCGCTCTGACTTCGGCCAAGAAAAATGCGTCAGCTGATCATTGTCATTTCTGCCACTTACGTGTGGTGAAATGGGGTCATAACTTATAAGACGGCTTTTTCATATCAATTATTTTACATAAAATCATATTTCAAACCATAAATAATGTTCGACAGCCAAATAAAAGAAATAATACCAATACGGGCTTACAGTTTAAGGCTCGACATTGTGTTGCCTACGATTAGACAGCTGATAACTCATTCCCGTACGTCGTATGGTCGTAACACTATAATGACCTTTGCTTATTGTCACAAGTGCGCCGCATTCGCGATTGTTGCCCGACGCCTGTTTGCAGGTGAGCCCACTACAGTTGTTATACATATCTAAAAACCGAAAAACTTTTAGGCGAAAAAGGCACTATTCCAGGCCCATTTTTGATTTTTTTTTTGCGATATTAGGTAAAAACAGAAGCTTCTTATCCTAGGAAAAATAAAATGGGAAATCTTTCAAAGGTGGCACACTACCTTTAAGCAAAATCCTCAGTTTTTGGTCTGCTAATGGTTCGCTTCTTTTTTAAAGAAAACAATAATTTGTAATGCAGTACCTAATTGCTGGGTAAATTGCGCTGCGAAGCACGATCACAGTGTGCACGCGGTTCGACGGCGTTTATAACGACCATTATATGCTGTGGAACGTTGAAGGAATCTGAGACTTTTGACCTTCCACTAATGAAGGTCAAACAATTACTTAAATGTATCTTCGCACTTCGCAGCAATCTGCAACGCAGCTGATACTTTGTAGGAGCCATGCGGCATGCACTACACTCTGCGCTTTGCATTAATGCTGAAACGGATATCCCGGATTTCAAGCATAGTGCTGAATATTAGCTGCTATATAAGCCAAATCAAAACGTGAAACCTACAGCCGGTAAACGAATGACAATTTTGTGGCGCACATACTGCACCGTCTTTTCGTCTAATGAACACCCGCCGATGTTCGTCAATTATTAGGGGCTGAAAATGAGCGTAATTAAAGGGTACCTATGCAGCGTGCTTTGGTTGATGGGTTTTCTTGTAGGATTATGTTGCATGCCGTCTTGGGGCATTGCAGCGCAATGATCCAGGGGAGTAGGCAGTAGCCAGGTGGGTAAACAGTCAAAATCCAAGAAGCATAGGATTTCATCCGCTATTTTTTGGAGGGGGCCGGGCCGCAGCTGCGTCAAAGGATCTGTCGCAGGGGCCTTTGCGTCGCCAAGGGCCCACTGAGCTAACCAGGGGCCTTAGGGAATAGGTGCCCCTTGTTCTCCAGGAGGGCCATGGCCCCTTTGGCCCTCTCCTTTGCTACGCCACTGCATAGAATGCATCTAGTAAGTAATAACGTTTGGATTTTGCGTTTTAACGTTTTGTTTTTATATTTAATTCTTCTTACGCTACCTTTATTATGCCCTTTACAAAACTTTTGACAACGCGATGGACCTTTTAGGCCCCAGGGAGTGGGCCATGGCCCCTTTGCCCCCCCCCTTGGTTACGCCCCTGCATTGATTGGACCAAGTCACGAATTTATTTATAAATTAGTCATGAGGCCTTACCTATTGACATGCATTGCATAAGTATGTAATGCATAACATTTTGAAGCAAACGACCTTCTGGCTCAGTTCCTCTCTAATGAAGCTGTAGGCAGTTTGCTGCATTTCGCTCTTTCCATACTAATTTTGGGGTGTGAAATCAGCGCTCTAATACCTTGCAAGTAGGTATCCAGGATAAAAATGCTTCAGTACAGAGAGAAGGAAAGACTTATTAAAAAGAGCCTCAAAATATCCCACCTCAACTGCGATAGATCACGGTTGAGCATAAAAGAGCAACAGGCCCCCGGGCCGTAAGGCAGGTCTCGGCTGCGGCGATGGCCGGGCGCCCGGCGCGAGTGGTGCCTGGCGGTACAGTATAAGCGGTAGGCGTTTGGTGTGCTGCGGCACAGCCTACCCTCTCCCACCGGCGCCGCGGTGGCTCATAGTTTTTCACACTTCGCGTTAGCTTACTCATTTTTTATGTATCTGAGTTTTCTGTTTTCTTGAATGGTTTTGAGAACAGTTTTGAGAGACATTATGAATGTAATAAGAAGTATTAACCCGTGCCCCGCTGGGGGGTGGGGGGTGGGGAAGGTAACTTCAGTGCCTTATGTGCAAGTTTCAAGCGGATCCAAGGTGTCCAGAATATGGGTTGAGTCTGGAATGGGGCATGGGATGGGGCAGTGCGTTAAATTTCTGAACGTTTCGCGCGGCCCAGGTCAAACGAGGTCACATTTACTAGCGGTTTGTGCTGAAGTTACTACATTCTATGGGCTTCCGAATGATGTACCTACTTCCGATCGCATTTTGTCGTATGCGTATATTCAAGAATATACAAGAATATAAGAATATACTGTGCAACTGTTTTTCTTTTTACCCTACCCGTAAATAACCTAAGGTCATCGTGTGACTTTGAGGGGGTAAATTCGACCGTGGAAAAGTAGATCGAGGCCCTGGTGAGTCGTTTGGTAATATTTTAAGCGTTCTGACTACTATGTGGGCCACAATCTGCAGTGCAAGTTTAGGGGATCGTGATCTTTGTTAGTCTCTGTATAGGCCAAACGGCTATAGGGGTGAGTGACTGCAAATTATTTGGGCCACATATTTCACTTTAAGGGCTATGTTGTGTGCAAGTTTCAAGTGCATCCGAGTTGTTCCGAATATGGGCTAAATCCGGGTTGAATATGGACGGTCTTGACGGGCATCCCAATAGAAAATGCATCAGCAATAGGTATAGAAACACAGCCTGAATGGTCTGGGGCCCGCCGCCCAGCCTGGTTGATCTTGCGTTTCGGCTAAAGGTGAAATCGTCGAACATTTTCGCTAATCGGCTCCATTATTTCTTTCTTTGAAAAACATGCCCTGCCCCTATGTGTTTGATGGTTGCGCTAAATTCAAAGGCGATTATTGTACCTATAGTGTAAATAACCGAGCCAAGTGCGCTCAGCTAGATTTTCATGGCAGCATTTGAGTTAAAAAAAAAAAAACTTTGGGACACCCTTGACCCTGTGCAACCAGCGACTTCAAGCATAACATCGGGGACAACCAATAAACAAGTGCACACAATCCCCCAAATGCCGAACAAGATATCTCACCTTTCGGGCAGACACGGGCAATACTTCTGCTTCTTCTTTATGGTGGATTAGGGTACGTAGCCGTCAGGCTTAAGCGTCCAACACGGTCAGCACAGAAGCACCTCCCGCCACGCACGGCGTCCGAACAGTATCTGACCTGGTGAGGCCGCCGAGTGTTTGCCCTCAGGCGATCCCGACCCGACCCGCCGATTGGTCAGCCGTGCCCTGGCGGGGTCACGTGATTAGAGTGGCAGTTTTCCATACAGCAGTGGCGGTCAGAGCCACCGGATTTCCTAACACCTACAGATGAACCGAAAATACTCGCCGTGTAGCCTTCAGTCTTCTAAATTCCGTAAACAATCCGCAAAATGGCATAGCTCAATCGGGATCATTTCATCAAAACATTGTGTGCATTCAGTTTCACACTGAATCAGCAGGCACCAAACCTCACCCACAAGTATGGTCCACTTTTCTTCCTCCGCTACCGTTGCTGTCTTCGAACATGCAAAATCAGCTCATTACTGTCCGCGCTGGCCACAAACAGTGCCACCCGGTCCGACATTGTGCGCTGTTTGTCCGTGTTTGTCCAGCTGCCGTGCGACAGGTCCCCTTTCAGTTTGCATAGTGTCCTGTTGTGCGTGTCCCTCAGCAGGTGGGCAGTTGCTGTTTTACTTGCATCAAATGCATGGACGATGTAAAGGAATGCGTGCATTTGCATACATCTATGTGGGGCATTGCAAGCAAGGGACAAGTGAAAATCAGTATGGGATAGACATGAGTCAACTCGCTTAACTTGCCTGACAAAATATATAGATTCATTGTGCAACATCCAAAATCATCGGTAGGTAGTTAGGCAAAGCTCTATAAAGGTTTACGAGTCATTACATATTTCCTTCAGTGGGAGCCTTTTGTGATCATGTCAGTTGCAAGCGCCTTTCCTTTAATGAGAAGGTGATATAAGTTAATCAGCTTTAATTACCTGTCCGATTTCAAGCACGAGGCATCTGTTATCTTTCGTTCCAACAATCCACTGAGTTGAATGGATGCTGGATAATGGGAAGTTCGACTGCGAAAAAAAAACTATTATTTTGTCATTTCACACCTTCCTTTTGTAGTTTCTTATTACATATACATAGGTGGTTTATCGAGGAGAGCATCCTTCTACTGAGCAGCCAGCGTCGCAGTCGCTAACATCAGACCGTTCCGCAGATAATCACTTGCGCTCTAATTTCACCCTTAGTTTAACCGACTGCCAAAAACCAGATTTCGCCGACTGCATAAATGAGTCATGAAAGGCACAGCTGAAAGGTGGATTTTGCTCATCAAACTGTAGCTCTGACGACCCTTAACCCTTACATTTTGGCTAATCTCACTGGCGACATCATTGGCGGTGTCAAACAACCATTTGACCATCCCTAACCGTTCTTATGTCAACGAAGCGTCTCTAGTCAATTACAGACTCCGGTAAAGCCACCAGACACCCGCAGGTTGTGTGACCAGCTTTATTGTCCCATCAGCTGGGACCGAGGCGTGTGACAGCGACTGATTGAAATTCCGAGAGCGGTGCGACAGAGGCAGCCAGTGACACGGCATTGGTGAATACACACATACACACCGACATACACTACACACCCCGCGCGCACATGTACAGTGACCTGACGGGCAGCCGGCCCGCGGCGGCGCCCAACATTGACCCGTGCCCAGCTAACTGGCCTCGGTTGCTAGCAACCCCAATAGCTAAACATGGCACATGTGCTCCGACCTGCACGCACAGCTAACCGGCATACGCGGTATGGCACACGGTCATACGCGGTATGGCGCACAGTCATAGCCGCTTCCCGTCCTTTCACCCGTCCAAACTGTGACAATGCACGTCAAACATGAAGCATCTCTATGTAATCTCTTATATATAATAGTTTAAAGGGCATTTCCCGTTTTCTGTTTTATCACACATAACCATCAATGAAGCTAGATACAAAAGCCTTATCACGCAGTGACGAGTAGTCAGACATATAGGGGAGACCCGGGAGGTATGGGCCGGTTTTGTGAAAAGGCAGTTTTCTTCCAGTGGGAAGTGGTTAGACCCGGTTTTTCACTCTGTGTACGTGAAATTGCCTTTCGCCTGCAAAGTGTGCCCGATATTAGGCATCTGGGATCAACTATTTTGTCTCGAGATAATTTTAAATAAATCATGCGCTTTTTCGATCCATCAAAATACACCGGGAGGTATGGGCCATGGCCCGGGAGGTATGGGCCAGTGCCATGTTTCATATTCTTCTCTCGATAATGAGAACAATACTTGTAGCTGTTATCTACCTTGATCTCTCTTAGAGCCCAGGAACCGCATAAGTGGCCAACAGCTTACTTCATGGGGGTCACGTGGGCACATATGTATTTTGGTAAACGCATTCATGCTCCATGAAATAAGATAAATAATATTTTTCTGTTCGAATGAAATTTGTAGTTATATTTTCGACCTTGCGCGACAAAAATAAAACTTATTGAAGAGGACATTCAATGAAAGCATCATTTCATTGATTTAGGATCCACGGGGGTGGGTGGCCCGAACCTCCCGGTTAGGACGCCAGAATGTGCGGAGCGTCTCAGCTCATAATCTTGCAAGAAAACTTCAAATTGTCTATCCAGTCTTAATTTGCATGCTTTAAACTTTATATTACCGATGGTCTGATACCATAAAACGAGCCTGGGTCAAATTTATCACGAATTTTCTGTACGTACCGTATTTTACTCGAAGAGGGTAAAAACGCTTTATCACCGCTCATTGCCAAAGAAGACTGAGGAATTTTTTGGAAATCACGTGGGTTGTATAACGGAATGGCTGCTACCAGTTTGCGCGGTCAAATGTGTAAAAATACGCAACACTTCTTCAAAACTGCGATGGCCCATACCTCCAGGGGGCCCATACCTCCCGGGTTTCCCCTACCGTCATACCGACCGATCCTGACAAAAATACATAGCTTCGCTTCATGCCTAATGCCAGAAAAGCTCCGTCTAGGCTGCTAGCTAAGAGTATGGGCGCATTAGACAGGAGAGATGCTTGTGATGAGAGCCAGACAGATGCTCTGGCGGGGTATGATTGATGATGAGTTTTATAGAGCAGGTAGCTGATATCTGAACTCCCAAAGGTGCCGATCTGGTGCGCTATAACACTAGGCGAGCGAGCGCGGCGCACAGTGCAACACTCCCGGCAAACACCAACCGACACAGTGCACAGTGGATCAAACAGTTCCGTATAAATGACTAACAGCTCGGCCCGGACCTCCCTCCGATCGGGTCTTAAGGCCGCCCCACACTGGACCTCGCATGCGGGTTGCGGGTTTTTGGGTTTTCGGGTTTCTTCAAAATGGAATAATACAAGCTAGGCTGAGTGACCCACACTACCATTTAACAAGCGAGTCTGCATGTTTTTAGCTTGCGAGCGACCTTGCATTGCATTCCAAAAGTTGGTTTTGAGTCAACTTTTGATTTTCCTCGCTGCGAGGTCTGCGAGTTCTGCGAGGTTTGCGGGTTTTTCGTTGGAGTCGAATTTTGGTTTGATGCGCTGGTATTGTGACTATATGTAAGTTTCTGAAGGTGTACCGGCTTCACTGCATTCATGAAGGTACCATAAGGAATCGGTCCAATCACTCTATGAATTAGTATTATGCCCGCAAACTCAAAACCCGCAAACCCGCAACCCGCATGCAAGTTCCAGTGTGGGGCGGCCTTTACATCAGATGACACACAAGTCGGTCTTGTGATTCGCAGGGACATATTGTCTGAGAGGTATACGAGTATATGGCGCGTAGAAAATGATGCATGAAGTGATTGTTAATTTGTCGATTAATCTCATATTCAAGCAGTAGGTGTAATAGCGCAAAATGATTCACTTGTGTTAGCAATGCACATTACACGCCGTGATATGTACAACCATTTTTAACTGAAAATGACATAACCCCCATTAAGCACATCAAATGTTGACTAATTTACTTTTGCCTGTTCGACATTTACAATCATTTCATTACCCTAAAACAACAAAACTGTACAGTGTACATGACGATATGTCACACAAAACGTCAGCAGAGCGAACTTCCGTGAGCAGATAATCGACAGCTATATTATTATCCCATAGCTACTGGCCAAACACGAAAATGTTTCTAGTGAGGTTCTTGGGTGAGCTAAAACCTGGCCGCCGAAGAGAATCACACTCGAGTACCGGGCGATAACACTACACGGATTTACACCGAACACCGCGTCTGTACGCCGTACCACCGAGTACCAGTTGTACCAGAGGTACGGTACATCTACCGCCAGACTATGTACACGGACACATACAACAGGTACATGAGTTCAGAACGTCCTCAGACAGTTTGAGACGGTTCAGCCCCGTCCGACTGCGCGCGGCAAAAGAAACGTCAACACCGACCGGAGAACACCCGTCCGCAAACCGCCACGCGCGCCACACACGATATGACGTCACATAATGTACCGTCTGATGACGTCACCTTGTACCGGTGACGTCACACGCAGCGGTGACGTTACACATCACGGTGAAGTCACACACAATTGGGAGAGCACACATGTTAAAAGTTGATGAAGGACTTGGCGACGCACTCTCGAGTGTCGCCGACTCTCGCTCTTCCCTGAGAAACCCCTCTCTCCCAGTTCGGCGTCCGCGGCCTCTGAGTGACCTTGGATGACCTCCGAATGACCTCAGAATGACCTTAGATTCACCTTATAGTGACACAGTGTTCTGACCGACCCAGACGACGAAACGTCGACGGCAGCCACCGACAAACGACTTCATTCTTCAATGATGTGACATCTATCCCTCAACGACAGATATCCACAGCCCACAGTCCAGGTGACCTTGAGTGTTGACCTTGACCCCGGGTGGCGCGGCTCCAGCTGTGACCTTCTGCTGACCTCTGGCTGCCGTCGCCAGCGGTGGCCGCCGCCGCCTGTCGGAGGGCACGGCTTTGATTCAGTACGGCTCAGTCCACAGTCCACAGACACAATCACCCTCATCAACAGCGCCGGTACGTGACGGTCAGCCGGCCGGCCACTGTCATGAAACTCGACGGAAATATCTGCGAGAAAAGAAACCAAAATAGTAAAGCCATCAGAGCCAAATCCCCATGGAAATTGCACAATGTTAGCGTGAGGCAGGGCCAGATTCCAAATTTACGCATAACATTCGCTTGTGCTTATGCATATTTCATAGCATGAAGTCTACTAACGGCACTAGATGCCTAGGCCAACCACAGTGAACGAGCGCTCAACGATTCATATCCTTCATAATATGCCAATGCAGCTACAACGCCACCATGTCCTCGTAGGATTGCCAGGATCTGCCCCAGACGATTGACTTGATGTCGGAGGGCCGTCTGTAGATGGATTGAACTTATCAGGTGCCATCCGGCACAATTGAGATGCATGTGCTCCTATACGGGGCTTTCTAGCAGTAATGCTGGACATTCAAGTGACGCCCACACAGACCAGAGTTCATGATAAAGTTTAAGCTTAGGCTCACCAGGCCGCGGAATCGGCTCATGTGGGATCAATTTACCTGCCATCTCAATAGCTTTACGTAACTGATATGCTAGATAGCCGATACAAAGTGCAGTCTACTCATTGATTTCGTCATATTTCGTCAATGTTATTGGAGGCTATTTTATTCCACATGTTCTTTATCCCCTATGCAGTTTATTTCTCACCGAGCGCAGACAAGGCTATGCGGCACAGTATGCTTTCAGGCGCTCACTATCAGCGCCATCTATGAACGAAGCTGAAAGGAATCCATACATGTGGACTAGGTTCATGATCGCAAACCGGTAACCTCGAAACAGACAAGCAAAACTGTCTGGTTATGCATTTTGTCAAAATAGAAAGGTTTTGTAAATAACCTGAATTCTGTCGATTCGCGCATTTCATAGGTAAACATTAAATGTTTTGCTAAACACATATTCGCTGCCTCTATTTGGAGTGTACCGCTGTGACTGATCAAGACTTAATTCGGAAGAAAACGACCGATATAACATTTTCAATTTGATGCCGCGCCGCAAGACATCACTATCACTATCTGAGACGTCGGACCTAAGCAGTGTTTAATCAGGTCCAGTCACATTGACCAGAGCGGTGGACTGGCACTTTTCTATGTCACCCCGCGATTACAGATCACTCTCGATGCGTTTCCAACAAACACATGTTTGTCTGGAGTATTTCCTGAGTCGCGACAGCCTGGCGTTTTCCCGGAGCCCCTGCACAGAGCGGCGCTCTCAGACATATGAAACACTCTGTGCTGATTGGTTCCAGTTCCATCAAATGAAGATGCTGTCTCGCATGCGATTGGTGTGCTTTTTATACCGTGATCGATACACCGCCAGGAGATGGAGAATTGATAAAAAGGAATAGAAAATTGGATACAATGCGATCCATTGCACTTATCCATTTAAAGTACACACCGATATTATAAATTATGGCACATCAAACCTTCCTCTTCAAGGAAATCCCTGTCCCCATTTCCTCAGTCTCTCTCCTACCTGTCACACCCACCTGCCTGGCTCTGTGAGCGGTTGGCGTGCGGCCGGCGGCGGCGGCCGGGCAGCGCTCGGCTCCTACCACTCCTCAGCTCGCAGCTTGCCCGGGTCCGGGTCAGACACCATTGACGCCTCCGGAGGAACCGTCTGAAAAACGGCGCACCGCCGGCTAAACGATACATGACGCCACCGAACGCACGAACACGCGCCAGCGCGCGACACAAACACGCAGTGTGGTGGTGGATCGATGAGGAGGGCGGTTATGTGGCGTTTGTGTTTTGGAACGGACATACACCCATACATACCGTGTGAAGCGGTGATGTTCAGACGAGTAGTCATGTCAAAACAAACACTTTCGGCATTATTGGCAAATAATTGCAGTGACATCCGAGTACCACAAAACACCATATAACAACAGTTGCAATTCACAAACCAACCAGCAGGGATAAAAGAGACGGACAAAATATTAACACTGCCAACACTGCCAAATGACCAGAGACGCAACTTTACATTCAATTTCTTACAGTGACACTTGAGGTGGTTCGCTTGTAATAGGTATGTGATTTGCCAGCAAAGACGATGCTTTAAAACGAGAATATAGAACGCTTTGAGCTGCGGGTTTCATGCAAGAACTCCTTCCGACACATGCATATCCCAATGCAGGAGTGGCCTGCTATTGAGTTCGCATTTCATTTTGAATCAGCCGATGCATCAGCTGCAGACAATGTGCATGCAGCAGCGAGAGAAGATATCTGCATAAATGAATGCAAATTCGAGCTTAATGCTGCGTTCGAATTCACATTGTGGACCCAGCAAACGCTCACTTGGTATAAACAATGTCTCTTATGATAGTTTAAACCTCAACACAACTGGCGGGTATGTACAAAATTCCGGTCCCATAAAAGACTGACATGAACATCGTGGCTGACATAATGTGGCATGGATCAGGGATCAGATCTGTCCGCCAGATCCCCGCCGATCCATGAGCAGGCATCCATTTCCTGATAACACTCCGGTTAATGGACAGACGATTCTCTCCGTTCCATCAAGCTGACGTAAACTGGAATGGATGATCGGTGAACGCTCTTGATATCCTCAGACCAGGGGGCGGACAGCCGAGGGGCACTGGGGACCCGGGAGACGCAGGCTGCGGTCGAACCGTCGCCATGGACACTCACCAGTGGGGAAGGTATGGGGATGTGTCATATGCCGATCCGCGGCCTCGACTTCTCAGCTAGCGGTGACTGGTGGTGGACAGAAGGCCGCGTGCAGGGGATTATCACCAAGGACAGCACAGCGGGACGGATTCTGAAGGTTAACGAACGAAGCGAGCCAATAGAGCCACCGGTCACCACCAGCAGTAGCGAGGAGCTTGATGGGATTAAAACCCGTTGCTCAACTCAGTAATTAACTGATAGGTGGCTGGCTAGCTCCTAAGACTGTGATAGCTCAGTGAACGCTGCACGTTGTGATAAGAGTTAATTATGCGGGGCACGCGCTCGCCGTATTGGGCGAGAGCATAGCGTTTGATTTAAGGCTCGAGTGCAGCGAAATGACCAGTGTAACTCAGCCTGAAATACAGCTCCAATCAATTTCGTGAGGGAAAGACCGTCTCTTCCACCAGAAGAGATAATACGTTATGCGTCTGGAAGTTGAGATGATTGCCGTACAGGCAGAAATATGTAGTGACTGTTGAAGTTTTTTTTATTTTCGTGCTAATTAGTTAGTTGATGATAGTGAGGACCAGCCAGCTAGTTTCACGCAATGGCTTCCGCATTCAGAACATTACATTGTCCGTAAAAAAAAAACTCCAGAGTCCTGAACAACTTTAAGAGCACGATAACTTCTAATAAAGAACCATCTCTGTATAGTAACTACAGAATACATATAGCCTGATGTGTATATCGGTATGTAGAGCCTGATAACTTGTGAAATTACTGCCGCCATTTTCGCAGTGATTGAGTTAGCGTTGAGTACAGATCGACTGCAGGCCTTATGCGACCGTCTCTATGAGTCAGGTGTAATCAAATAGATGTAGTTGCATGATGCATAATCATAGAAACCATTTTCTGAGTATGAACGATATTCTTCTTCCCTGGATGGCGAGCATTGTTTGATGTTCGCCTTATATCACGTGGCTGGAGCAGATGATATGTTTCCGCCACCATAGCAACATCTTACGATGTTTTTAAGGGCGTGCAATTTAAATAATGAAAGCAGTCATTCACAAAGTTTACCCATACCAGCCGGGTCTAGGAGCATTTCATCCGAGTAGCATACGCTAATATCCCAAAGGAGGCCGATTAGCACACCTAACTAACCAAGTTTGTCCCATCAGCTGACTTTGAGCGTCAGCCGTGCCTGCAACGTCATGTTACCGAGACGGCCGCACCAGGCTGCTTGCAAACTACTTCAAAGTTAGCAGAAACAGTGGGGTCAATATTCGTGTCAGCTGCATATTGTTATATTTTACACGGCAAATGAGCTCTCTAAGATGGTAGCGAACACTGCTAATATCCAGCACGTTCAACATGCCGTAAATCGACATAGGAGCTCTTCCATTTATTAATTTTTCATCACACACATGCCACCGCGTGGATCGAGCACACTGCTGCGAAGTCCATTGTTCAAAAGGATTGGACGATCCATTGTGTTGCCATTAAACGATTAAAGACCGACAAACGCCTCCTTATATCATACTTGCGATGCACTACCGAAAGAGGTTATCTAATCGGCTAGCTACACAATTCATAATTCCTGTCATTTCGTAAAATGCCCAAGCACAACAATAATCCTTAAAAGCGTCGTGCATAGCAAGAGCTTAGCACGGCATTTGCGCATATACCGATCGGACAAAGTGTGCCGGTAACCACGGTTACGGTTGCGGTTGCGAAACGTAACCATGGTTAGGCACGCGTAGGCCGGTCTTCAACTACAGCGTTAAGGCATCATCAATCATGCGGCAAAATGATTAAACTTCACCACTCTAACAGCTTTTAACGTGAAATACCAATCATCCACCCAAACTTTCCACGAATAATGGACCTCCCAATATCGCTTTAGGCCCAGAGCATGACCGTTTAGAAAGTGTTAGGCAGTACTCGTAAATTCGTTCGCCCTGTCGGCTGCAGGATTCGTCGAGGGCCGTAATTTCCGATGCAGTTGGCAGGCCCGGTTGCAAGGTTGTGTCAGGTCGACGGACGATATGGGATCATATTCATCGCGGCCGATCGATGGACCGCACACTTTGTGCCCCTGTGTGAGAGGACTCTATTCTAGATAGGAGGTGAAACAGTGCTTATCTGGGGACTGACTTATAGAAAGACTGAGTAGGTATCTGCCATCTTCCACTTTGTATAGTTGCTAACTTTAGCAGTAGCACAGTCTTACTGACTTTTTTATCAGAAGGCAACAACTTTAGTCTAATAACGACTTACCATCTTTCTGCCTCCTTGTTTCATTGTATGTGCACATATGGATCAGGAGGCTCTCCCATTTACTGCCATGAACTATGAACTTTGAGCTAGCTATGAGCGATGTCAGAGATCCCGCTCCGACGAACCCTATCACACAGCCGAGCGTCGACTCTATTCCGTGCAACAGGCGACACTCTGACTGCCATTCCGGCGAACCGATCGGACCAAACGGCGGACCGATTGGACCGGACGGCGGACCGGGTGACACCGGCGCGGCGCCCGACAGCTATTGCACCGAGATCGCCGTTCGGGACTGACAGTGGCCGTCGCCCGCGGCATCGGTCACGTCCGCCTCCCGGGGTAGGTTGGACAGATCGGGCACACCTCCGGACAGAGATTCATCGCTGAGGATATCAAACAAGTGAATGCTATTTCTTATCGGGAACACGAAATTGTGGAGAAGAATAGCTGATTGAATCTTCTGGCACAGTGCGATTGACGACACATGTCACAGTTGCTACGAAGGCGAAGGAAAACTAGATTAACATCGATGGGGGACAGGGAGGTTTAGAAGAGATCTATGGCTTTTCGCCACGGCAGCACTCCCTACAGGAACCACGGCGATTTGATGCAAATGTTCACCTGTAAGTACCATCACTGTGGAGCATGTGATGCTCCATGCCAGCCAGCTCCATGCCAGATGGGTGCCAAGCAATATCACAGGCAACGCTGACGGACTGTCCAAAGCAGTCTCTTTTCGATCATGAACTGAACCTCGGCCCAAACAGCCGCTGCCCGATCTTCCGACTTGGCGATTCCTGGCGACTCCCGAGCGCGCCCGGAGCCCCGCCCGACCTGCCGACTTTCCCGAGTCGCCCGAGCGCCGCGTCATTTATCGTGCTCGGTCTCGGCGGGCGTCGCGGGCTGGCGGCACGGAAGGACCTCGGCGGTGGAAGAGGATTGAGGGCGTCATTCCGACCACTCTGTGGGGGCGCCCGGGAAGGCTCCGCACGAGAAATGGCGGTCCGCTGAGACACATCGCGACAGGCCGTGATTGGTCGTGACAAAATGGTGATCGGTCGTGACGGAATGGTGATGAGTCGTGACGGAATGGTGATTGGTGTCCGAGGAGTGAGAACAGATCGATGGACACAGGTGTGAGCGATGTGAATGACCTCCGACCTGCGCACCACCGACTGTGACAGGTGATCGATCACCTTTTTCTGCTATACTGGGCGTGGTGCAGTCTGAAGACCTGCCTCAGTCCAGTGAAAACTGGCGGCAGCATTACACGCTCATATTTCACACGAGCTTTTCCTTTTTGTCAGACTGCTCACCTCCGCCTATTGATGAGCTTCTCCTCGTCACAGAGTAGCTGCAGCAGCTCTCACAGAGCTCTCTCCCCCCGTCCCCGTGGAAACCTCAGCCGTCGCCGCCACCGGCCAGACCCCGCCGCACCTTCCCGTGTTTACCCTACCGTCTGCACCACTTTCGGACAAGGTGCGAGTCAACAACTGCAGACCAACGTGGCGCTGGTGCCACAGCAGCGCGGCACAATATTCCGCCGGGCAGTGCCACAGGTTGCCGGAAGCCGGCGGGAGCAGGGAGGATATTGGTCGCCGGCTGCAGCCATGGGTCGTCGCAGAGGGAAATTGTCTCAGGAAATCTCTGGCAGCTGCCAGACGATGGGACTGTGAGGCGCAGCTCATCGGCAGGTCCGCTGGTGACCCTACATGGGTCGATGTTGATGATCGATAACCACAAAAACTGATACGAGCAGAAAGACAGAAAATGACTACGTATGTAGGCCTACACTCTACATTTATGTATAATACCAACGGTATAGCCATAAGTCCATATTTGAAAGACGGACCAGGCTCATAAGCAAGCATAAGCAACCGCAAAAATATGGTTGATCTT